GCAAAGGGTCCAGAAACGTCCTCACCTGTGGCCTCAGCTGGGCTAAGACCAGTCTCTCCAGGACCTTCATCACATGCGATTAATCAATCAATTAATCACTTTTCATGGAAATACAAAGGACCATCTCTTTGGAACAATGTGCTTCCATCACTATGATAATAACAATATCTACATTATCTTTATCCAGAAAACATCTCAAAAGGTCTCTAATTAGCAAAGATTTAAAAAACAAATGTACATTTCTCTCTTCTGCTGCTTGGAACTTTGATGTATCATTACGTAGAAGCAAGTACACCATTGTCTGAATGTGTTCAACCAACTCAATTATCTGTATTTGTAGCCGTACTCGGTTTGGGCTGGGCTTGAACTGGAAGTGTGGGGCTAACTAAAGTTGTTGATTTAATCCTGAAACTGATCTGAATTGATCTGAAGTTGCTGTATTTTTTAGATAACTATTCGAGATACTGATGAGAAATGCTCTGTTCCAAGGCTGGATTTTTAGTTATTGGTGTGCTGTATAAATATTACTGGGATTTAAACAAGGAACAGAAATCACAAGTTCCCATTTCACTTCAGCTCTGTATTTTATTATATTGTAGTAGGAAGACTAAAGCATCATGCCGCTGAGTGGTGTGCATCAAAACTGCCAGCTCTGTTATTAACAAAATAAAAGACATTACCTGGTGAGCCCTAGCTCTGGAGATTCAGGTGAGTTTAAATATGGTATCCACATCATATTTTAGCTAGTGTCTAATTGTTGACATATTATTTCTTATTATTATTATTATTATATAGTACAATAATGTTTAGTATAACAAAAAGGAAACCGTTGGCCTTCACAGTTTGCATCCCGCTACATGGGACAACACTGCCACCTGCTGTTGTTACTGTGTACCAGCATTGGGTAGTAACAGCAAGCCTCCAGGAGACCCAATGCATTCTGTTTTCACTGTCTAAATAATTCCTGCTTTTTCACTTTCATGTTCCTTCCATTAGCTTCAAGCTCCTAGTAATGAAACCCCTCACTTCCTGTGGACATTTCACATTTAAAGCCTCCCAGCTGCTCTATGGCAATAATCCTCACATTCTCTAATTTACACTAATTTGAAACTTCTGTGCAGGAAGTATTGAAGCTTAACAAAAGAACAGTCTCAAAAGAACTCATTATGTGCTGGCTGCTATTATTATTATTATTATTATTATTATTATTATTATTATTATTATGCTTTCACTGGTTGGATATGATACATTAATGATCACATGACACACACTGATACAGCAGAGCAACAGTGTGTTTAATGCTGCATCCACATGGGTTCAGACAGATAAACAATTCCGGCACAAGAAAAACAAATAAACATTCCGACAGAATGGCAGGAGAGCAAAACAAAACATGCATGATGATAGGGTGATATTACATTGTTTACAAATAAATAAAATATTTCTGTATATCTTGTTGTTTTGTTATTGTTTTATTATTTATTTGCTGTCGCTGTTTTCTCTGTGTGAGGGAGAAATGTAACATCTGGTTGCTAATATTCTCTAATGTCATCCTCCTGTTCTCATCCACTAAAATCAGATATGCTTTGCTGTCTGCCTGAATCCATGTGAATGTAGCATAACAGTGAATTTTAAATTATTTTTTTTCAGTCAAAATTAAATTTGATAACATTGGTTCAGTCCCACACTAACTGTGAATCATATCACATTATCTGTCAAGATAATTGCAATATAATGTTTTTACCATATCAGTGGAGGGTACTGTTAGCTGCCATAGTCTGGTGTCACTCTGATTGTTGTTGTTGATTCTTTGTGCTGTTGCTGAACATAGTAAATGTTTTCTTTCAGGTGCCTCCTGCTATAGCAGCTGGTAGCCAACAGCAGCCACTGAGTGAGTGTGTTACCTCCAGGTCTTCTACTTTGCTCTGAACCCTCCAGAGGTGGCAGTGCTGGTCTGTGGGCCGGACTGGGTCGGTCCACCACGTTAGCCCACACTGAAATATTACAATAACTATCATTGGATTGGATGATATGGATGATATACAGCTGTTCATGTTCCCTCAGAATCAATGTGATAACTGTGGTGATCCTCTGACTTTTCATCCGGTATCAGGTCCAAATCTATAATCTGTTTAAAACCTGTTACGCTGACAGACATTTCTATAAGGCTCTAATTAGCAAATGTTAGCATGCTAGCATGCTAAGCTAAAATGGCAACCATAACATTATGGCATTATAACATTATTATTATTATATATGTTTTTAGTCATTTACAATCATCTTGATGTGTGTGTTTAGTGTCTTGTTGGCAGCTAGTGCTCTGTGTGCAGGGCTCATTCTTTTCACTTTGTATTATATCAATCCTGATCCACAGTATTTCACAGTTTAGGTTCATAATAATCTCCTGGAAAGAATGTTATTTGGTAGTAATTAAAGGGAAAAATAGATGAATATAGTGAAAACTTCCATTTAGCCCAAAAAAATGCAAACAAAAATACACATAGTCCTCACCACACATATTATATAATTGTGGACAGACATTGGTGTAAGTTTTCAAGCTGTAGTTTTTCCAGGCTCAGAGGTATCTGTCTTTGTGGACTATTACAGGGTTCCCATGCCTCCTGGAAAATCTGGAAAACCTGGAAACTTAGAGATTAGTTTTCCAGTCATGGGAAACACATGGGAAATCGATTAAAAGGACCAAATATGTCAATAATATACCATTGTGCTGTCCTGTACTGTCAAGTAAAAATTGTCATTCCTCGAACTTAAAAGGTTGTGGGAAATTATTTTTTAAATTGAGTGGGAACCCTGTTTTAGAGAATATCAGTCAGATTTCTCAAAACCTGGACAAATCCAAAACTACATAAATGGATCAATAGCATTAGAAGCAAAAGAGGAAAATCTGTTCTTTTGTAATTTAGGTGAACTGACTCTTTAGGGAAAATTGAAAATATTTTTTCCGCTTTAGGATCAGCTGGAATGTACATATTGGTCCATCAGGTGACTGAGTGACACCTCCTTGTGTGCATCCACAGGCTGTGAGTGTGATAACGTGGAGCTAAGTGAGGCGATGTTTGAGGCGGTTCCTCTCAGCGTACGCTCCAACATTAAGCTGGCTGACCTCAATGTGTTCTACCAGCAGCTGCAGCAGCACCTCAGCAAGGACAACAGGTTAGAGAAGAGCTGCAATGAGCAACAACACCACAATCATTTCTGTCTCACAGTGAATATTTCGGCCTTATGTATGAATCGTTCGTATGCGCAGATCTGATCGTAAATTGTGGGTGAGAACAATTCAAGAACTTTTGTGGCATTCAGTATTTTGTTTACTGGCCACTTGTTCTTGGGCAAGATCAAAGTTTAAGAGTGCGTAGACCACACAAAGCCACTTTGAAGCCCACTTGCCTTTTGTTTATATTAATGATGATGAAAAAGTAATTTACTTTATGAAAACAAAAAATAAAAACTTTACAATTATTGATTTTAAATGTTTAATAATGTAAACTATTATACTTTTTTCTTTGTTTTTGGAGGGAAGTTTGCACATTGTCCCTTTAACAGGGGAACTAACTTGGAAAAGCTTATGTTAACTAGTTTTAGAAACCAGTTGGTATACTGAACATGTCTTAAGTTTTGTGTAGATGAACATTTAAATCTGTTGACAGGACTGATGTTTTAGAACAACAGATTTGTTTAGTACAAAGTCTCTCTCATTACTATCAACATGAAATGGGACACTGCTGCATCGGTCGATTTTACAGTTGAAATGATCAGTCACTGTTTCCTCTTGCCCTCTGCAGCAGCTTCCTTAGTGTGCAGAAGATGAAGCAGTTGAAGATGAAGGTGAGTGACGCCAAGCTGAAGGTCCTGCAGCACCTCTCTTTAGTGGCACTGGACAGGAAGGGCCACGTTCGACTCGTGATGTGAGGTGAATGAACCCGGAGACTGTCGACAGTGTGTGCTGGGTTTGGCTGATCCTCCACACGACCCAGAGTACGGAGGGTGAATTAGCTGAAGGATCACACTGCAGAGGCTCTAGGAGGGCACAGCCAGACACACGCACGCCACCAGATGTTTGTGGACATCAGTCACATTTCAGTCAGTTCAGATGCTGTTACAGTTTCCATCCACAAATTGGAACGCTATTTTTCCTCCTCTTCCAGGTCACAGTTGTCTATTTGAACTTTTCTGTCTGTCACCTGCCTGTCCTTCACTGCCATCCCAACATGCTCCCTCATTCATTTCCCTCTGCTTCATTAACCCTGAGCCATTATTAAAGCTGCAGTGGGTAACTTTTCTAAAATAATTATTTGTCAGTGTTGTCACAGGGTCCTGCAGATTACCCATACATCACTGCAGAAAGGGGAGAGGTCAACAAAGAGATTTTCATAGGATAAATTGAGAAAGTGGAGCCGCACTGTGTGTATTTTATCGCTGTACACTTGACTGATCTCAGCAGAACTACAGCAACACTGACAGTGGGTCTGGACTGGTCCCACATTGACACATATATATGCCATAATAGGAACAGCTGATATGAGAGTGGTCGCTCTCACATGTGAGCCTCCCATATCCAAGTCCTATTCTCTGTCATCTGCTCATTTCTAATGTAAATACTGTAATAATGTAATACTTTAGATGGAAAAAAGTGTGTTGTTCATTCCTGACATGGTCTAGGTAAAATGCCCTTTGTTTGCCCTCAGTGTTTGTATGCAGGGCTGGGTATGAACCTCAGTACTTTGTTGGTAATGACGAAAATGTATTCTTAGATATAAGTATGGAAAACTGTAAAAGACTGAAAGGTCCATCAAAGGTCTGCTCAGACTCATCATCCTATGTCCTTCTTCTTTGATCCAATATTTGGAGAAAATAAAATCTAATTTAAAGTTTTATCAAGTGGTGTCCTCTTTGGTCCTACAGGTGACTTTTATTTAGAAAGTGTAGAACTGAGTCACATCATTTCAGTTGTAATGAATGCCTGGACCCGCCCCTTTTTGTTCCACTGCTCCACAATCCAGTGAGAATGTGCTTTACACCCCTCCATTCAAAGCTTGGCATTGGACTTGATGATGTAAGGCTTGCATGCAGCTGCTCAGCCATAGAAATCCATTCCATGAAGCTCCCGCTGAACAGTTTTTGTTTTCACATTTCACACTTCAGCTATGGAATCAGCAGAG